GTCTCAGTCCATCCAGATAGTCAGGGGATTTTGAGAATAGTCAAAATCCTGTCTAAAGGAACAACTTCCCTGAAGACATTGGACAAACTCATCCACATGGAATCAGTGAGCCAGCTGTAGTTAGATCCTGAGAGACCTCAAGACACTCTAACTTCACAAGACCCACAGACTCCTAACAGACACAATCGTCCACAACGGACAGCAGCACGAAAGTGCAAGCAAAATTTGCACTTGTATTATCAATCCAATGGAGAGTAAATAAATACATATGGTTACTATTGTCCTAAGTATTGGACTCTGTGCCAGTTCTCTCCCTCTGGAAGATGTGGGAAATTTCTACCCACCATATCTAATAATCATCTAAGAAATGTATAAATTCTATATCATATCTAAATCATATCAAAATCATATCTAAATCGTATCAAAATCATATTAGAATCATTAAAGATTCATTTTATAGCTTGATCCTGGATGACAATGGCACCATGAACACGTACGCAACAGGGGCCCTTTTGATGCCTACGTGACTTTGTACATGATCTCTCAAGGATCCAGAAGCTTCTAGAAGGATTTCTTAATTAAAAAACTATTGGAACATTTATTCGCTTCCGGTAGAGATTAAAAATCGAATCCTTAATAAGATTCAGTGGTACTTTCAAATACTACTTATAATCTTTAAATCTTATATCTAATTATATTATAATCACATCTTATTTCAATCATAAGTCTAGACTGTAAAAATAATCAATCAATATTCATTGAAAGCTACCTCTCAAGGGAGAGGGAGGAGGATCTCGGGGGCGAGAAGCGCCCACGATGATGCCTCGAGGCACTGCGCGTTTGTTTACAACTGAGTGAACAAGTGACTGATCCTTAGCGAACATTACCAGCTCAAGGACACCTTATCTAATATTTTCATCGCCAGTGAATACTCTCTAGAACTGGGGGAGTACCTGGACAATATCTACAAGGAAAATCCTAGAACATTTATATAAAATAAGAGTGTTTAGTGGAGATCACAGTGACGCGGTTTCCACCACCTTCATTCCTATTCTTTATCTCAAATCATTCTTCTGCAACTGCAGGGATAATCATGTAGCAACGCTACCAGATCATCATACAGCAACGCTGTGGCAAAATATCGTGCCTAAACTCAACAAGAGAGAGTTAATCTGTCTGGCACCTTGTCAGACAAGGCACCCCGACTGGCAGAGAAGTATATTGAATGTTATTTGGTATATGATTGGCCAATTGTATGCTTGTGTGACTTTAATATCCGATAAATCTGTCTGTTGGTTAAAAAGCGAGGCTAAGCCTCACATTTCAGTAAGTTTATTAATATTGTAGATGAGCAGCAGGTCCTTGTTCAGGCACTAAACCTCATGTGTGTCCAGTTGTCAGAAAAAGATTCAGTCGCAATACTTAAATAAAGTCTCATGAGTGTCCATTGTGTGGAAAAGGATTCAGTCAAGCTGACTACATAATCATATAAATTAAATACATTGCATATATACTTGAATATATAAATTAAGTTAATTAATTAAGTTAAGTTAAGTTAAGCTTGCTTAGTTATTTTTAAGTTATCATATAAGTTCATTTAATTGAATATAATTTCTAGTACTAAGTTAACAGTATTTAGACTACATTTAAGGTCATTAATTATACTTTTACAATTTAATTTGTTGTTTATAGTATAAGTACATATTGGCTGTTAATAGTTATGGTGCTGGGTTAGACTATGTATGTTTAAATCCCTGATTTAAACAGAGCCAGTGTTCAGTCAGATAACTGAATTTATTAAATCTTATCCTTGTATAAAATACAAGCTGATGTGAGATCCCTGTCTACAGGTGGACTGGAACTTCTATCAACAAAGTCATTCACCCCACCTGTCCCTTACAGCCCACAATCTGTCATTAGGAAAAGAGGATCTAGGATTTACAACCCTAGCTAGAGATTTTAATTGAATTAATTTGTAGACAGTAAATTTTTAATTTAGTTCAGTACAAGTCCCTGGTAGTCTCCTCTTATATCAATCCCAGCAGGTTTTTCCCACACACCCCACACATCCGGACACTTGATAGTGAGGGGACACACCCCACACATCCGGCCACTTCATAGTGAGGGGACACACCCCCACACATCTGGCCACTTCATAGTGAGGGGACAAACCCCACACATCCGGCCACTTGATAGTGAGGGGACACACCCCACACATCCGGCTACTTCATAGTGAGGGGACACACCCCACACATCCGGCCACTTGATAGTGAGCGGACACACCCCACACATCCGGCCACTTATAGTGAGGGGGACACACCCCACACATCTGGCTACATGATAGTGAGGGGACACACCCCCACACATCTGGCCACTTGATAGTGAGAGGGGACACACCCCACACATCCGGCCACTTGATAGTGAGGGGACACACCCAATCATCCGGCCACTTGATAGTGAGGGGACACACCCCACACATCCGGCTACTTCATAGGGAGGGGACACACCCCACACATCCGGCCACTTGATAGTGAGCGGACACACCCCACACATCCGGCTACTCTATAGTGAGGGGGACACACCCCACACATCTGGCTACATGATAGTGAGGGGACACACCCCCACACATCTGGCCACTTGATAGTGAGAGGGGACACACCCCACACATCCGGCCACTTGATAGTGAGGGGACACACCCACACATCCGGCCACTTGATAGTGAGGGGGACACACCCCACACATCTGGCTACATGATAGTGAGGGGACACACCCCACACATCCGGCCACTTGATAGTGAGGGGACACACCCCACACATTCGGCCACTTGATAGTGAGGGAACACACCCACACATCCGGCCACTTGATAGTGAGGGGACACACCCCACACATCCGGCCACTTGATAGTGAGGGGACACACCCACACATCCGGCCACTTCATAGTGAGGGGACACACCCCACACATCCGGCCACTTGATAGTGAGGGGACACACCCCCACACATCTGGCCACTTGATAGTGAGAGGGGACACACCCCACACATCCGGCCACTTGATAGTGAGGGGACACACCCACACATCCGGCCACTTGATAGTGAGGGGACACACCCCACACATCCGGCCACTTGATAGTGAGGGGACACACCCACACATCCGGCCACTTGATAGTGAGGGGACACACCCACACATCCGGCCACTTGATAGTGAGGGGACACACCCCACACATCCGGCCACTTGATAGTGAGGGGACACTCCCCCACACATCCGGCCACTTCATAGTGAGGGGACAAACCCCACACATCCGGTCACGTGAAGACGTATATATGTATATATATATATATATATATATATATATATATATATATATATATATATATATATATATATATATATATATATATTATATATATATATATATATGTCGTACCTAGTAGCCAGAATGCACTTCTCGGCCTACTATGCAAGCTCCAATTTGCCTAATAAGCCAAGTTTTCCTGAATTAATATATTTTCTCTAATTTTTTTCTGATAAAATGATAAAGCTACCCATTTCATTATGTATGAGGTCAATTATTTTTTATTGTAGTTAAAATTAACGTAGATATATGACCGAACCTAACCAACCCTACCTAACCTAACCTAACCTATCTTTATAGGTTAGGTTGGGTTAGGTAGCCGAAAAAGTTAGGATAGGTTAGGTTAGGTAGGTTAGGTAGTCGAAAAAAGATTAATTCATGAAAACTTGGCTTATTAGGCAAATCGAGCCTTGCATAGTAGGCTGAGAAGTGCGTTCTGGCTACTAGGTACGACATATATATATATATATATATATATATATATATATATATATATATATATATATATATATATATATATATATATATGTCGTACCTAGTAGCCAGAACGCACTTCTCAGCCTACAATTCAGGGCCCGATTTGCCTAATAAGCCAAGTTTTCCTGAATTAATATATTTTCTCAAATTTTTTTCTTATGAAATGATAAAGCTACCCATTTCATTATGTATGAGGTCAATTTTTTTTTATTGGAGTTAAAATTAACGTAGATATATGACCGAACCTAACCAACCCTACCTAACCTAACCTAACCTATCTTTATGGGTTAGGTTAGGTTAGGTAGCCGAAAAAGCTAGGTTAGGTTAGGTTAGGTAGGTTAGGTAGTCGAAAAACAATTAATTCATGAAAACTTGGCTTATTAGGCAAATCGGGCCTTGCATAGTAGGCTGAGAAGTGCATTCTGGCTACTAGGTACGACATATATATATATATATATATATATATATATATATATATATATATATATATATATATATATATATATATATATATATATATATATATATATCCAGTGTTAGTATATTGCGCTGAGAGCACTATATCATTTCTCATAGTGCCCTGACAGCACTATATCTTGTCTCATTGTGCCCTGAGACCACTATATCATGTCTCATAGTGCCCTGAGATCACTATATCATGTCTTATAGCGGCTATCCTCCACTAGGCATCTCTGGGTACCTGCCAAAAATATGGGATAAGTGGGCTTGTAGTTCATTATTTATATATAATATGGGATCGGTTATGTAAATACAGTAAGTGCCTTAGGCTTTTGTGCCTCGTCTCAGATGCCCTTTACATAGTGGCGGGAAGGACAAAGGGGCAGTATGTGTAGTGAATGATCTTGTTAATAGTTCTTGCTGAAGATTTTGCCAAGAGATATTTACAATAGTTTATTTATAATAGATTAATTTATAGATTAGTATATTAGTATTTATATATTAGTCAATAGATCAATTAGTGTCTTAGTGTTTACAATAGTTTGTTTACATTTTGAACGTTACAAATTAATATTTTTTGTATATTATAATTTCGTATCGATATATTTTCACTTGGTTGTAGTTAAGTTATATTTTGACTAGGTTATAATTGACAAGAAAATATACTGACCAGTGACTTTGGCTGTATTGAAACAGCTTTCATTAGTATTAGTTTTAATTAACATTGGTGTTATCAGTACGGTGGTTGGTGTTATCAGTGCGGTGGTTGGTGTTATTAGTACGGTGGATGGTGTTATCAGTACGGTGGTTGGTGTTATCAGTACGGTGGTTGGTGTTATCAGTACGGTGGTTGGTGTTATCAGTACGGTGGATGGTGTTATTAGTACGGTGGTTGGTGTTATTAGTACGGTGGATGGTGTTATTAGTACGGTGGATGGTGTTATTAGTACGGTGGATGGTGTTATCAGTACGGTGGATGGTGTTATTAGTACGGTGGTTGGTGTTATTAGTACGGTGGTTGGTGTTATCAGTACGGTGGTTGGTGTTATCAGTACGGTGGATGGTGTTATTAGTACGGTGGATGGTGTTATTAGTACGGTGGTTGGTGTTATTAGTACGGTGGATGGTGTTATTAGTACGGTGGATGGTGTTATTAGTACGGTGGATGGTGTTATTAGTACGGTGGTTGGTGTTATTAGTACGGTGGTTGGTGTTATCAGTACGGTGGTTGGTGTTATTAGTACGGTGGATGGTGTTATTAGTACGGTGGATGGTGTTATTAGTACGGTGGATGGTGTTATTAGTACGGTGGATGGTGTTATTAGTACGGTGGATGGTGTTATCAGTACGGTGGTTGGTGTTATTAGTACGGTGGATGGTGTTATTAGTACGGTGGTTGGTGTTATTAGTACGGTGGATGGTGTTATTAGTACGGTGGTTGGTGTTATTAGTACGGTGGATGGTGTTATTAGTACGGTGGATGGTGTTATTAGTACGGTGGATGGTGTTATTAGTACGGTGGATGGTGTTATTAGTACGGTGGATGGTGTTATTAGTACGGTGGATGGTGTTATTAGTACGGTGGATGGTGTTATTAGTACGGTGGATGGTGTTATTAGTACGGTGGATGGTGTTATTAGTACGGTGGATGGTGTTATTAGTACGGTGGTTGGTGTTATCAGTGCGGTGGTTGGTGTTATTAGTACGGTGATTGGTGTTATCAGTACGGTGGTTGGTGTTATTAGTACGGTGGATGGTGTTATTAGTACGGTGGATGGTGTTATTAGTACGGTGGTTGGTGTTATCAGTACGGTGGTTGGTGTTATTAGTACGGTGGTTGGTGTTATCAGTGCGGTGGTTGGTGTTATTAGTACGGTGATTGGTGTTATCAGTACGGTGGTTGGTGTTATTAGTAAGGTGGTTGGTGTTATCAGTACGGTGGTTGGTGTTATTAGTACGGTGGATGGTGTTATTAGTACGGTGGATGGTGTTATCAGTACGGTGGTTGGTGTTATCAGTACGGTGGTTGGTGTTATTAGTAAGGTGGTTGGTGTTATCAGTACGGTGGTTGGTGTTATCAGTACGGTGGTTGGTGTTATCAGTACGGTGGTTGGTGTTATTAGTACGGTGGTTGGTGTTATTAGTACGGTGGTTGGTGTTATCAGTACGGTGGATGGTGTTATCAGTACGGTGGTTGGTGTTATTAGTACGGTGGTTGGTGTTATTAGTACGGTGGTTGGTGTTATCAGTACGGTGGTTGGTGTTATCAGTACGGTGGGTTGGTGTTATCAGTACGGTGGTTGGTGTTATCAGTATGGTGGATGGTGTTATTAGTACGGTGGTTGGTGTTATCAGTACGGTGGTTGGTGTTATCAGTATGGTGGATGGTGTTATTAGTACGGTGGATGGTGTTATCAGTTCGGTGGATGGTGTTATCATTACTTCTGTGATAACTGGACTTGTTCTGAGACAGAGAGACGGACAGATAGACAGACAGACGGACAGGCGGAAGTAGTTATCCTCTAACAATACCGTAGACAACGTTAACGATGCACATTGAGCGAGAATGCAATATTGACGGAAATTTCGTCTTGGTGATCGTGGTGTTCAGGGGCTTGGGTGCGCTGGCCGCTCCCACCAGCTGACACTTATGATATCAGGTATGATATCAGGTATTATGATATCATTTATGATATTATGATATATATTAGGGCAGCTGACAGTGTGTACCCACTGATAGGTGACTTGGTGATGTGAGTATCCACAGGGACAGTTTGGTGATGTGAGTATCCACAGGGACAGTTTGGTGATGTGAGTATCCACAGGGACAGTTTGGTGATGTGAGTATCCACAGGGACAGCTTGATGATGAGAGTATCCACAGGGACAGTTTGGTGATGTGAGTATCCACAGGGACAGCTTGGTGATGTGAGTATCCACAGGGACAGTTTGGTGATGTGAGTATCCACAGGGACAGCTTGATGAAGAGAGTATCCACAGGGACAGTTTGGTGATGTGAGTATCCACAGGGACAGCTTGGTGATGTGAGTATCCACAGGGACAGCTTGGTGATGTGAGTATCCACAGGGACAGTTTGGTGATGTGAGTATCCACAGGGACAGCTTGATGATGAGAGTATCCACAGGGACAGTTTGGTGATGTGAGTATCCACAGGGACAGCTTGGTGATGTGAGTATCCACGGGGATAATTTGGTGATGTGAGAATCCACAAACAGGTGGTTTGGTGATGTGAGTATCCACAGGGACAGCTTGGTGATGTGAGTATCCACAGGGACAGTTTGGTGATGTGAGTATCCACAGGGACAGCTTGATGATGTGAGTATCCACAGGGACAGTTAGGTGATGTGAGTATCCACAGGGACAGTTAGGTGATGTGAGTATCCACAGGGACAGCTTGGTGATGTGAGTATCCACAGGGATAAAATAAATGCTGGTATATAAAAATGTGTGTACCTGCAGGTATGTTGTCGGCAATTTTACGCAGGTACCTGATGTCAGACGTCTGCAGCAGCTGGAGGAGGCATTCGAGCCGAATTCTGTATTAAGTTTCACTTAGGAGATGAAGAATGATGAGACACTGCCCTTTCTAGATGTAACAGTTACGGAATGGAGCGGAGGCTTCCAACACTGCAGTCTACACTAAAGAAACATAGGAATGTGCCTCAATGCCAACAGTGACTGCCCAGACAGGTACAAGAGGAGTGTCGTTAACGCTTATGTCGACCGTGCTCTCAGCCACAGCTCAGAATGGAAGCAAGTTGACGAAGAACTCTGTAGGGTAAGGCAGGTCCTAGTCAACAACGGCTTCTCCAATGGTTTCGTTGAAGACATCATAAGAAGGAAGGTGAAACGCCATGCAACCTCTGAAGAGACAACTAACACAACACCTATACCCCTATTAGACTATTTTACAGGAACTTCTTTTCCACAGCTCATAAAATGGAAGAAGGGTTCTGAAAGATATTGCTAATAGAAACGTTATCCCTACAGACAAAAATCAGAGGATACAACTGACGATCTACTATAAAACCAAGAAAACGGCCAACCTACTCATGAGAAACTCTCCAGACACAAGGCAGAACGATTTAAAAGAGACCAATGTCGTCTATGCCTTTAAATGCCCACTTGGGGACTGTAAGCCTCAAAGAATTCAGTATATAGGCAAGACAACAACATCTCTTTCCAGGCGATTAACGATGCATAAGCAACAGGGCTCCATTAAGGAACATAATCTCTTCCCACAACCAGACCATCACCAGAGAAGTCTTAACAAAAAACACGGAAATCATCGATAGATACAGCGATAGCAGGCGGCTTGATATCTGCGAGGCACTACACATTAAGAAGTCGACACCAGCACAACTATATTCTACCCACTTCAAGACTCCGCACCAATATAGAAGCATCAAGAAATATGGGCCAATAGGCCCTTTGCAGTTACTTCCATTCTTCCCTTTAACTTACAAAATATTATACCCATTGTTTCGTGTTCTGTCTTGTGTTGAAAGTTTGTTTTCACCTCATCCAAAACTGTTGTAACATATCACCTCACCCAAATGCAGGTATAAAATCGAAGCTGTTTGAACTCTGTTCAGTTAAAGTTGTGTGTGTGTAAACTAAAGTCTTTGAAAATGTAATAAGTTTTACGAAACGCGTTCAAGTGTCGCGCCAGACTAGAAATAAAAATGAATTTTGGAGAATTGATTTTTCAGTTACCATCAACAGTGAAAAGAAATATAAGAAAATAGAGAAAATTCGTGTTAGAATTATTAATCTTACTTTTTCGGTCATATTTAAAAATATATGTCTACAGGAAAGACTGCTACCAATATATATATATATATATATATATATATATATATATATATATATATATATATATAAACTATATGTGTGTGTGTGTGTGTGTGTGTGTGTGTGTACTCACCTAGTTGTGCTTGCGGGGGTTGAGCTTGTTACGGCCCTCTCGGGACGCAACGGGGTCCTTACTCTGATGTTGTTAGAGGAAGATATAATGTATCCGTTCCCAAGCCAGTAGTGGCTATCAAGGGATGAGATCCGTGACGCAAGTAACTTAAAGGGAGTAGGGAAAGAAAGTTAAGAACTTAATATTATAATTAACACCATCACCGTTTAAATATATAAAATAAATGAGTGCACAAGGGGGAGGGGTATTAACACTAGACAAGGGGATTATTCACAAATTAGTCTTCTGCTGAAGACTCTGGTGCCACAACTCTCGGTGCTGAGTCCTTGGTGCTTCTTCGTGGCCACACAACGAAATATCCAAAGAAGTTGAGCCTACCCTGGCCACAGGTCAGCCAAAACACAGGTCCACTGGGGTCACCGTCGTGGAGGCCGTCAACCACACGTCCAGCTGGTCTGCTGGCAGGTTCTGAGCCACCAAGGCTGGTACGGCCACTCCACGAACGATATAAGGGGTACGCCCTAGACAGGAGTCTCGTGTGATATCACAAATCACCCTCCTGTCCTCTATACCCCAGTGGATGATCGTCTCCAACAGTCGGTCCCGGGTAAATCCTCTTACTACCACTCCACTGGCAGGCTAACACACCACAGTGTTCTTCCGGGGGAACGACGTCACAACAGCTGCAGCAAGGTTCAAAGTATGGAGACTGGCTGCCTCGGGTAGACTGACTCCACTTCCATCACAGCAGTCCCAGGTCGGCTCTGTAAGCAGACACGTCATCAATAACTGGGACACTAAAACACCTCACTTACGGGCTCGGGCACAAACACCTGACGTATCCAGTCCATAGATGGCGCTGTCGTCGGAGCACCACCTCACCAGAGGTCAGTGGCGGCGGTGTTGAGCGCTGAACCAGACTGGAAACTGGTCCTCGAAGCCAGTACACGCTGTCCTCACCAGGTGTCGCCGTCCGTTTGGCGGGGGTTTCGGGAGCTGACCCACAGATGGCGCGGTTGTCACGGCTCCGTGCTCGGACCTCGGATCCGGGTTCGTAACAGAGCTCTGGCTCTTTGGTCCCGCCTCTCAACTGTCAATCAACAGGTATACAGGTTCCTGAGCCTATTGGGCTCTATCATATCTACACTTGAAACTGTGTATGGAGTCAGCCTCCACCACATCACTTCCTAATGCATTCCATTTGTCAACCACTCTGACACTAAAAAAGTTCTTTCTAATATCTCTGTGGCTCATTTGGGCACTCAGTTTCCACCTGTGTCCCCTAGTGCGTGTGCCCCTTGTGTTAAACAGCCTGTCTTTATCAACCCTGTCAATTCCCTTGAGGATCTTGAATGTGGTGATCATGTCCCCCATGTGTGTGTGTGTGTGTGTGTTTTTGATGCATTATACATACAACGTTCTTTCTTGCCTGGAACATCTTGAGGTGAGGCATGGTGAGAGGGAATATATACTGGGGTAGTGGCGAGGTGGAGGCTAGGGGCTAGGGGCTAGGTGCGTCAATCCCAGGAGCTCAGGAGCTGGCCAATGGGCGGGGATTGTTTTGCCTGGACGTCGTCTTCCATTGGATGGGATCAAGACCTCAGTGTTGGTAGTGAGGCAAAGTCGTAGCTGTGTTGGTTTATCTTAGATTTTTTCCTTCTCCTGCCCTTAGTTGCAGAATTAAGCATCTATGTGTGTTCCTCGAACCCTTGTCTAGTGTCACTTCGTGATTAGTTTATGTATGATTTCTTAGAGCTCCTGCTTGTTGGAGACTAGTCATCCAACCCGTTCTCGCAAATTCGTAAAGTCAATATTGACTTATTAAATTTGCGAGAACGGGTTGAGTCATCGTATGATGAATCACTCTTATATCAATAGGGGCACTCCGAGGACGTCCACACACTTGCCCATGTTTCTTGGTGTGGTGTAGACGTCAGTGGTGACGGTGACGTCTCTGGTCTTGACGTGTACGTCCAGGGAAGGGAGTGCACCGTCGATACCAAGTTCATGTGTCAACTGGAGTACCGAGGACTCGGTAAGCCACACTTAATCTTTTCCAGGTTTTGACGGTCCCGGACACAGATGAGAATGTCATCAATATACCAGCAATAATTCTGGTGTTTGGTCATAGTTCTGAAGATCTTCTCTTCCAGGGAGCCGATATAGAAATTAACAAGGAAGGAAGGAAGGAATTATCAAGGAAAAGCGCCAAGCCATTACGACTATATAGCACTGGGAAGGGGGTCAGGATAAGGATTTGGGATGGGACGGTGGAAAGGAATGGTGCCCAACCACTTGGACGGTCGGGGACTGAACGCCGATCTGCATGAAGCGAGTTCTTCTTCTTCTTCTTGAGAGTAGATGCAGTTTGCATGAAGGGTTTAACCTCCTGATGACTGCATCAGGACTGATGTTGGGAGACACAGTGACGGCGAGGAGGATAAGACTGTCAAAAGTGCCAGTAGCGTCGTGCCGTAGATAGAGGAGCGGCG